CACAGTCTGGGTCCTCATTTCACCCACCTCGGAAGGATGGAAGGCTGAGTCAACCTTGAGCCGGTGAGATTTGAACCTCTGAACTGCAGATAGCAGTCAGCTGACGTGGCCTGCAGTACTGCACCCTAACCACTGCGCCACCTCGGCTCAGAGTGTGATGGTCCTGCGTTTTGTTTAGATCTGAGGCACTCAATGGGAATGTGCGAATGTACCACCTTTCCTAGTAGAATCATGTCTCCAAAGGTTGTCTGCTTCCCAGCTTCCCATGATTACACTGAATCCCAGAGGGCCTCTTTTTCTAAGGCATTGTGAGGTTGGGAATTGCAAATGGGCAGGGAGGCCATGGAATGTTGTGGGGAAAAACGCTTAATAGAAAAATTACAGCAAGAAAAGTACAGATACGTTACGAGCATTAGCTCAGTGGCTAAGACGTGAGCTTGTCGATCAGAAAGATCAGCAGTTTGCTAGTTTGAATCCCTAGCACCGCGTAACGGAGTGAGCTCCCGTTACTTGTCCCAGCTTCTGCCACCCTAGCAGTTTGAAAGCATGTAAAAATGCAAGTAGAAAAATAGGAACCACTTTTGGTGGGAAGGTAACAACAGCGTTCCATGCACCAAGTACTCCTAGGTCCTTGACTGAGTGAGGGTCATCTAGGAGGTTGTATCCGCCCAGCTTGTATTTGGTGTTCTGATTTTTGTTGCCAATGTGTAAGACAGAGCATTTGTTAGATGAGATTGACATGACTGCTGCTAAAAGAAGTCTCCTTTCACCACATCCCTAGAAAACAATTTACGAGAAAGATCTCAAATATATCAAGTGGGAAAATTTCATTAAGAACGACCAACGTCTCTGCAGCTTTCATTATGACAAGCCAAACTGAAATGCATTTACTAGAGCAACTTTTTAGCTGCTCCTTGGTCGTACAGTTTAGATTTGTTGCAGGAAACCATTAACATTTTTGGGGTGGGGGTGGGGGGGTTGTCAACCATTCCTATGAACCTAAAATGCTGGCTCAAGAACAACCTTCTGGAAGCCAAAACGTGGCAGCATTTTGCACAGTGGAATACTTGCTTCCAAACCTACAGTTGCCGTTTGAAAGCAGGGCCTCGGGCAGCTTGCCAAGCAGGGTAAGGAAAATTGTACAAGCTGAAATTCCCGAGGCAGTCTGGTGATGAGACAAAACCAGGGGACCACCCCAAATAGAGGGCGGCTTTGAGGATCAGTGCAGGAGGTACTGTTTGTACTGCAACGGAGTTCAAACAAGGCGCCTTTAGCACAACAAGAGTCGTCTCTGCATGCTTCCTTATATAAGACCCATGGAAATAAGCAGAGCTCTTGGGCTTTGGCACGGCTCCTGCCCATTTCAATGAGGTTCTGTGCCAACGGGCTTTGTTCCTTCCCACTGATGGGAGGAGATGTGCCATGGGAGGTGTTTGCAGCAGAAACCAAAAACGTGCTTTTAAGACGGCCTTCATGAAATGCTGTCTTCTGCCTAACTCTTTACCCAGTCCCTCTCCAGCCCGATGAATCCCCAGAGATGGATTTCAGCTTCCATAATCCCCAAGCAGGCTGCCAACAGGCCAGATTGGCTAAGAAGACTGGGCCTTGCTGTCCAGATGAGAGAGAGTGCTTATAAACAGTGGTGGGATTCAGCCAGTTCGCACCTATTCGGGAGAACCAGTTGTTAATTTTCTAAGCAGTTCGGAGAACCAGTTGTTGGAAGAAATCTCCTTTTGTTTTTCCCCCCCACTTTCCAGGGCTAATCTTGTAAGGAAGGCAGGAAGGAAACATTCTGGTGTTGTTTCTAGCCTAATCTTTATTGCCTTGCTTACAGAAACTGCCTTTCCAGTTAACCCTTATTCCATTGTAACAGCTAAGGCAAAGCGCCCATCGATGTGAGTGACGTTGAGTTGGCCACGCCCAGCCAATCACATGACCATCGAGCCCTGCCAACCCAGCTGGTCATTAGGGCAGAAAACCAGTTGTTAAATTGTTTGAATCCCACTGCTGCTTTTAAATCCTTAGCTGACTCGCTTCACTCTTAAAGCTTCCCCCGCACCCCATAGAAAAATCTAGTCTGATTTTTAGGGGAATCTGGGGCTTTGGGATGATATCATTTCTGGAGAAAAATGAAATATCTGTCCACCTAAACCCACTTCAGGCCTTTAGAAAAGCCTTAAAAACTTGGCTTTCCCTTCTCAATTTAGAGTCAGGATTCTAGCAAGGCTTGATTTTTTGTACATGCTGTGCTCTGCAATGAATTGAGCAATTGGTTATTTTTATCTGGCATCTTTTAATCTTTTAATTCTTTTAAAGATGTATGTTTTTGTTTGTAAGCCTTGTTGGCTGCCCAGAGTTAATTGGTGAAGATGGGTGGCCAGATAAAGCTGCAGAAGGAACAAACAAACAAATAAATACAGCACAAAATGCAGACTCTCGTCCTGCTGAACATTTGTTTCAGATGGCGTTTCTTGTTTCCTGTACAGATTTTAGTTTTGTGGAGCTGTGAGAAGCCACCTCCACAGAAGTGGCCACCGACCACAGTTCCCTTGACTGTCATTTTAAGCAGCAACAAGGTAAGAGGCCATCCAGGTTGCGGTTGGGGTTGTCATGGAGCACTTTTTAGGAAGGGGAGACCTTGGCAAAAATCAGCAGAGATCCTGCACTCCAGCAGGAATCCTGCTTTTTAAACACCCCAGTTCACCTATCATTCAGAACCAGTTCTTCTCCTCATCCTTCAATGGGCAAACATTCAACCAAAGTCCAATCCAAGGACAAGAGTAAATCTTCCACTTGGTTTTTCTTGGTCTCTTAATTTTCAAAAGAAGTGTTCCTGTGGGCAAGGATTCAAGAGGAAATAATTACCTACAGCAGAAAAATAATCTATGGAAACATCTCAGACAAGTCCACCCCTAGTTTTCATGGAGAGAAGATGGAGAGAGGGAGAAAGAGAAGGAGACTTGTAAGATTATCCCTCCTTTTCTCTATCATCTCTATCTACCTATCTCCCATTTTTAATAACTAGCTGATAACCTGGCGTTGCCCAGATATTTATTTATGACCATCCTGTGTTAGACAAGAAAAGGAATGAATTATATCTATAGTGTCAAGTCAAAGTAATGCTGGAACACACAGACACAGACGAACAGGAACTTGGATCCAAAATGCACACTATCACTGTCAAAAATACTGTGATTTGATACTTTAGATATAATTCATTCCTTTTCATTTCAGGGGCCCAGGCGTTCCAGAGTTATACTGGTACACAAACAGATACACACACACACTGAGAGGGTTAGGGGTGTCTTACTCCCACAGTATTTGTTTCCAGAGAGTAAGTCATCTGTGTACCAAGTTTGGTTGAAATTACGCCAAGCATTCCAGAGTTATGCTGGAACCCACACACATACACACACATACAGCCATTTATATAAATAGATTTTACAAATAAATTCAAGGCGGCGAACATATCAAGCACATCTTCCTCCTCCTAGTTTCCCCAAAACAACCACCCTGTGAGATGGGTTGAGCTGAGAACCACTGGCTCAAGTTCAACTAATCAGCTTTCATAGCTAAGGTGGGATTAGAACTCATAGCCTCTTGGTTTCTAACCTGGTGCCTTAACCACTAACCCAACTTGGCTCTCCTATATCTTTACAACAAAAGTAGCATTGTTCTACACGACTTTGATTTCCTATCTGGTTCTACTTTGAAGGGATGACCGAAGGTGCTTTTCTGTTTCTTGCCTCTTCTCCTGCAGGTCAGCGAACGGTTTTTGCCTTATTCTGCTCTTGGGACGGATGCCGTGTTGAGCCTTGATGAATATACCAGCCTTTCAACCAGCGAGGTAAGAAAGTTCTCCAGAATCTTTCTACTTGTGTTGTAGCCATGGACCTTGGAATCAGGAAGGGACATGTGACTACTTAAACACAGGGCAAGGCCTCCAACCTGGACAGGTGAGAAACAGTCTGTCCATTAGGGATCCTTAAGAAATACTATTTTCCTTCTCTCCAAATATATGTACATATATATCTTACCTATTTGACAAAACCTATGTTGTAAGCCTATATATGTCAGGCATGCAGCTATCTTTTCTTTTGGATCTTTGGCCTGCCACACTCTCTATTGTGGGAAAATGGGAGGGGGGATTATACAGAGTTGTGTGATATGTAGCCATAACAAAATTCTTTCTAGAAGGCCAAGGTCATCCTTTGACTTTACACCTCTGTACCTGACCGGAACTGGATGGGTTGGACTGCCAGCATGGGAATGGAAGATTGGACCATGTGATGGACTTGTGGGTGTGGGGGCAAGATCTTGAACTTTCAACTCGGTGGGGAAAACTGGGAAGCTTTCAGATTCGGATTTTCCCAGATGCGCCAACATGGCTCTCTTAATAAATTGGAACTTTGCCTTGGACTCTGGTTTAATTTTGGATGCTGTTTGGAACCCTGACAATATATTTATGTATATGTATTGTAAATTAAATGATTGAAATTTAAATTGGTTGACTTAGAAAAATGGGGGGAAAGAAATTACCTATATGAACTAAAATATGGAATTCTATTGTCTATTAGTTATCCAATTCTGATTCCCCATTGTAAAATGCTTGTTTAGATATGGAAAGGGAACTTGAGCAATCTTTGCGTGATCTGCTTGCAAAAGGTTCTAGCTTTAATTTGTGACATCTCCAGAACTGGTTAGCAGAGACTGTGGCTGATATTGGAGAATTGCTGCTGATGAGAATAGTTCAACCTTTCCAACCTGATAACTTTCATTACTACTTTTGGAATGCCCCGTCAGCATGGCTAGCAGTAGGAACTCTAGAAATTTCTGGATCATAGAGGATATCTAAGGGGATACACATTACGAATATCATGAATGTCATGAGATAATCTGTAGACTTCAACTCCCAGAATTCCCCAGCAAGCTATTCTGGTTGAGGAACTCTGGGAGTTCAACTCCACAGGTCTTTAAATTGCCACGGTTGGCCATCCCTGTTCTAGAGATGATGCTTCTTTGGAGGGGGGGGGGGGAGAGAAGGAATATCAATCGAAAGTAGAAGGCATGACTTTCATGGAGACAACCTGAAGCCTTCAAATGAAAGATTCTCTTTCCTCAAACTGTTTTCCTGTTCTCCTCCTTACCTTTTAGGTTGACTTTGCCTTTGTGGTATGGAGAAAGTTCCCCGACCGGATTGTAGGCTTCCCAATGCGCAGCCATTTTTGGGATACGGGCAAGAACCAGTGGATCTACACTTCCAAATGGACCAATGAGTTCTCTATGGTTCTCACGGCAGCGGCATTCTATCACAGGTACCCTTCCTGGCTGAAGAACATCCTTGAGTTGGAAAGAGCCTATTGAGGAATCAAACCCAGTTCCTGTTCAGTGATGGAAGCCCGATGGAGGTCTCTCTGGGATACGGCAGCTTCTGCTTGAACTCTTCCTAGGAGATGAAAGCTCAGCACCCCCTTTGGTCCCCACTGCTGTTGCTTGCAAGAGGTTCTCCCTAACCTTCCACTGGAATTTGCTTTCATACTTTTCAGATACGTTCTTCCCTCAGTCCCATTCTAAAACAAATGTGGGTGAACCTCAAGCATCTTTCGGATACGTTTGAAGAGTAAACGGGAAGCTTGATGTCTTTACAATTAATCCGGTAGTAACTACAACATCTTGCCTTTTTCAAGAGGCAACTGGACTTTCTGGGGGTATTTTTTTGAAGAAGTTTTGCTTCTCATCCAAGAAGCTTCTTCAGAAGAGAAACATCTTCAAAGAAAAAACAGAAAGTCCAGTTGCCTCTTGAAAAAGCACCTTTGGGACATGTTAGAAATATCCTAATATTGAACCAGAACATTCTAAATGATGCACTTGGGAATGATTTAAAAAACAAATTGGGGTCCAGGAGACACACCTGGAGGGAGCAGGTTGAGGATGGGGATCCCTATACATTTCTTCAACCCTTGTGTTTTCCTTCCACAGGTATTATCACAGCCTCTTCAGCAACTATTTGCCTGCCAAGCTAAGGAACTTTGTCGACCAGATTGCCAACTGTGAGGACATATTGATGAACTTTCTGGTTTCTGCTGTAACCAAATTGCCCCCCATCAAAGTGACCCAGAAGAAACATCTCAGGGAGAGCCCACCTCAGCAGGTAGGCAGGCGCAGGTGGAAACCAAGTGGCCAGCAGTGGTGGTGGTGGTGGAAGAGGAGACAAGGGAAGGCATTATTCCTGTCTTGAGATTTTTCTTCCAATACTTTTGATGCCCTTTAAATATGACTTAGACAGGTGACACACAGCGCCCTCTCTGTGGGCACGTGAGCCGTTGCCCCAACTAAGTTCTGCCACACATGCACACACTCCTCCCACCAGCCAGCTGGTCTTCGGGTCTCTACCAGGCATGCATGGGGGGGGCAGCATCTGCGAGGCCTCATGCGTGGGACTGGGGGGCATGCGGGAAGACGTGCACATGCACAGGGAGTTGGGTGTGCGGTGGGGGCATGTGTGGGGGTCACATGCACATGCACAGGGAGT